CATGTGTTTTCGACGCTCATATAATAACAAATATGAGGTTATGTGATTTGCATCAAAACAATTGCCAGAATCGACACAACAGCGTTGCCATTATCAGAAAACTGATTTTTGCTCTGTGTTCACATTAATTCGCACAATACTGTATATTGATAGAGATCGCCATAGGTGTGTCTGAAATTTGTGCCAAGTATGAAACATAACATACATAGGGGAGACTAGGGCCAAACGTTCCAATTTTGTGAAAACATAAAAAACGACCGGGAAATAATGCAGTTATTCTCTTCACTATTGACTAATTTATTGTTAAATTTATTGTACTTTAAGATTCTAAGCTTATATTTAACATATTGTCATTAGTTTTTCATAGGGAGTTATTTATTTCTAAGACGGCGAAGCGGAACTTCTTACCCCATAGTGGGGCAAGTTGTTATCGCATTGGGGTAAGTTGTTCTGGAGAAATAACAGTTGCCTTTCAGTGAAATATTTCATTTTCTAATGGAATAGAATACAATTTTATTAATAACGTTTATTTATTAAGGTTAAGATCAACAAAAATATATGTATTATCTTTAAAAGAAAACAAAAACAATACCGGGTGATTCATCTAACTTGACGACTTGATTGCTCGTAAGCTATTTGCTGTACGAAATAAGGTAAAGGTACCAGTAGTTGACCAGTTAAGAGAAATCCTCCACACGAACAATACTAACCACTTGCTCTGTGATTAAATAGCGAGAGTCGATGCCTGAAGATACTCTTCAAGCCTTCTAGATTATGTAACAATACCAATTTTTTGGCCACTTCCATAATCGCCTGTACATTTCCATGGATGAAATAAAAATAAAAATAAATAAAAAAAAATTTTTTTAAATAAATAAATAAATTTCTAAAATAAATAATTAAGTAAATGCATTTTAATTTTCCGGTGGTGTTTATAATATCACGCACATGGTTATTTTAAAAAAGTGGACACTGGACGGAGTCAATAATTGACCGTGGATCAGTCAATAGTTGACCATGCGGTCATCCACTAAAATGCAGTATGCTACAAAATTTAGAACTATATTTTGTACTTCTAACAAAGTTAAATGCAAAATGGATACATTATAAATCGTAAACAAATTTAAATAACTCACGTCAGTAATTGACCACCCCGGTCAACTTCTAAAAACTTAGAATAACAAGATTCAGAATTTGACCCCCCAATAAACTATTGCTTTTTGTGGTTAGAATAACAAAAACGTTGCATTTATCACTTAGAAAACGCTGTGAGAATTTAATAAGTAAATAATTCAGTCACGAAGGGTTCGCAACGTATGGATCTGTTTACCTGAACCGTACAGCTGTTCTTAACAGAAACGTTAAGGAAATAGCAATATAGAGGCATATTACTTACCTTAATGGATTTAGACGTCCGTTATTACTACGCATACTTCCCGTCACATGTAATTCTTTTGAAATTTAACCGATAGATGCTCTTGGCATGTCAAGTGCATTTTTTTCAAAAGTGTATCACTTATAAAAACCTTATTTTTTATGTTTCTCTAAAAATTGGTCAACTACTGGTACATGGTCAACTACTGATACCTTTACCTTAGTGTATGAAACAGAAGTTTCACGATTTCAAGGGGTTGCAATGTTACAATAATTGTTTTTTTCTACATTGCTTTTGTACATAAAGTTTTGAAGGTCACCACGATTTTTTTAAATGGAACATCCTGTATTTCTTTCCGGAAATTAAGAGAGAATTAAAAGCTGAGTAAATAAATATTTAGGTGTAATATGTCTAAAATGTGTATTTATTGATATTTTTGCCTGTCTAGCAAAATACTCTATTTCTCACAGTTCAAATATAAACAGCATGCCCCAAGTCACAGGAACAATTAGCCTTCATCGATACACGTGGCAATTTATGTGAATATTCTGCTTATAATATAAGCAGATATCGTTCAATATATTATATTGAAATAGTCTAATAAAAACTATTGCAACAAGAAGCAATTAATAATTTCGACGTTAAATAATCGAAATAGACCAAAAAGTAATGAACGACAAGTAATTACTTTTCTGATACGTGACTAGGTGGTTGTTTATGACCACAAGATTCGCTGTTGCGGATGCTATTAAAATGGATGACAGAGTGGCGTGATCGACTCACACGGCGAAAACAATTGAAAGCACAATCCTATCACTTTTAAAGGGTTACACCACCTTGAAATTTTCAAAAAATCGATTATTTTTTTGCCTAGATGAATTGTTTATACTTCTAAGAATATTTTAAGCGTTTAATCATTCCAAAATTCCAACTATTACCGAAGTTATAGCAATTATCAGTGAGCGCTTCGGAGTCGACCCGAAACCTCAGGTAGCGATCGGACCGTTACGAGAACCCAAAGCCTTGACAAAGGATATTACATTATTCCTTTGGAGAGTTTCGGAAGCTAAAAGTAACTCAGGTACATTCATTGTCATAAATATCGGACCCCCTTTATATAGTATATTTCTATATTATACTATAGAATAGGGTACGCAAAGTTGGAACTGGTTTATATTTATTAGACTCACAGAACATTCAATCAGTTAGTTTTGTGACGCAGTAGTGTGCATATCGCCACGTGTATATTACGGAAATCATATTTTTTAATTTTTTAATAGAAAACTATTATTAAAATGTCGAAACGAGTAGTTTTAGATACAAAAGGCAGCCGAAAAACAGTTGGACGTCCTTGTCGGAGCAAGAAGAAACGACCGATAAATCGTTATTTAATGGAAAACGAGGAAGCTAGCACCAGTACATCAGCTAAAAAATTAAAGAGCAGTGAAACCGTTAATTTTGATGTAAATGCATCTTTCGGGTACCGATTAATTAATTTTGTATCTGTTTTTTCTGCTATAAGTGAAGTGGTAAAGTGTAAAGAGTGCGGCGGTGATATAAACTTTACCGAAACTTCTGTTCGTGGTCTTGGTTTTAAACTAAAGGTGAATTGTGCTAAATGTGAACCAGTTTTAATAAACTCATGTCCTCCTATCGGTGGTAAAGCATATGATGTGAATAGACGATTAGTTTTTGCGTTCAGACTTCTTAGAATCGGTTTAGCAGGAATAGAGAAATTCTGTGGAATCATGGACTTACCTAAACCAATTTTCCACTCGTTCTACGATAAAGTTGTGAATGACATTCACATTGCTACAAAAACTATTTGTGAATTGTCTATGAAAACTGCTGTTGAAGAGTCAAAAAAATTAGAAAAAGCAGAAGAACTCACCGTTTCAGGGGATGGAACTTGGTTGAAACGCGGTTACTGTTCCCTTTTAGGCATTTCTACTCTTATATCGTTTTACTCAGGAAAAGTTCTTGATCTTATAGTAAAATGTTCATACTGTAAAACTTGCGAATTTTGGAAAAATTTTGAAGGTACTGAGGAGTATGATGAGTGGGAAAATAAACATTCAGACAAATGTTCTGCCAATCACAATGGGTCTGCTGGAAAAATGGAAGTGGATAGTATTGTAGAAATGTTCAAAAGATCTGAAACACTTTATAACGTCCGATATGGTAATTACGTAGGCGATGGAGACAGTAAGACATACAAAGGAATTGTTGACTCTAATCCATATCAAAATTTATTTGTTAGAAAAAAGGAATGCATAGGTCACGTGCAAAAGCGAATGGGTACGCAATTACGCAAAGTAAAAAAAGATAATCCTGGTATAGGTGGCAGAGGGAAATTGACAGCCAAACTTATTGATGAGTTAACAGTTTACTATGGTCTTGCCATTAGAAGGAGTATAAATACATCAGTTGAAACAATGAAAAATGCGATATGGGCAACTTATTACCATAAAATATCCACTGATGAAAAGCCACAACATAACAACTGCCCATCCGGCGAAGATACCTGGTGTTCGTATCAGAAAGCAAAAGCCTCTGGAACTTTGGATTCTTATAAGCATAAAAATCCAATTCCTGTAGTTGTCCAAAAAGTAATTAAACCGGTATACGATAGATTAACTGATACCGATTTATTAGAACGTTGTTTAGAAGGATACACTCAAAATAACAACGAAAGTCTAAACGCTGTTATTTGGTCTATGGCTCCAAAAGTACATTACAGTGGTGCAAAAATTGTTGAGATTGCATCTTATATTGCAGCTAGTATATTTAATGATGGATATACTAGTGTATTAAAAATTATGCAATTACTAAATCTTGAAATTGGCCTAAGCACGCTGAAATTTTCCGAAAATTTGGTTTCACAACGAATATTCATAGCCAACATAAGAGCTCAACAGGAGACAAAAGAGGCTAGGAAATTGAAAAGAGCTGCTCAAAAGGAAGCGGAGGACATCACGGCAACAATAGAAGACCTCATGCACGGTCCAGGAATCGCAGATTGAAGGTAATTAAAAAAAATATTTGGTTTTAAGACGCTGACGTCGTACTATTTTTTCTTTTGCGTTTTTCTCGAAACTACTTTTTTCAAAACGGTGTACACGATATCTCAAGATCTACTTAACCGATTTGGTTAAAATTTACAACAGTTATTTTCTATAATATTATCTAAAATGTGACGTAGGATTTTGGTGATTGGGTGCCATGTTCGAAAGTTATAAATTTTTTAAACTCAAAATTTCGATGCAAATTCGAGTTTTTTTTCAAACAGCTGTCATTTCTACAAAAAAAATTTTTTTAATTTTTTCCTTCGTCACATTTTAGCTATTACCCTTTTAAATAAGAAAAAATTTATTTATTATGTTTTAGACGATGCCTAACAGAGAAATCAAGTACACCATCAGCAAGGATTTTCAAAAGAGGCTCCTACTTATCAGCTTATATCTCCGCCATTTTCTATTTTTTTTAATCGTTAATATTGTAAATTGTTGATAAAACTACTATATATATGTGTAAAATAAGGATCATTTTATATACTTAATTGCAGCATAAAAAAAAAAGTTTATTTTTATACCTATTTTTCCAAGCGCCAAGGTGATGTAACCCCTTAATTAAAGTTTAACGTGTTTCCCATGCCTCCGGTTCTTGATCTGGGTACAACTGTATCTGAAAAGCGAACAGTTATTTCAGTTACCGCCATATTTCCAGTAAGGAACTGAGCCAAAGTTTCAACACCAGCACGAGGCTGACGATCGAACGGATATCCCATGGCACGTGCATCAGGATATTTTCTATCTCTCAAACCGCAGAAACTTGCAGCATCATTGCAACCAGTCGATTCTTCTTGTTCCACCTAAATGTCAGTATTGCAAAATCGATGATTGTATTTACATTAAATCTTATTGTATTTACATTAGAATTTTAGGAGAATTTACGAATGTAACAAGAAAATATCAATGCTGCGTTAACAGATTCTGCAAACAATTCTAAGTACAAAATGTTGTACAATAGTTGTTTGATTCATATCAAAATAACTACTTTGTTCCATTTTCTTATTATTGGAATACTTATTTTCCTATTTAAAGAGCTATATCATCGAAATCCATAAGTTTGGTTCTCGAGTAATCAGCAAATGATTCCTAAATATATGTGTAGGGTGTTACGATATTCAAAATTTCTGCTTACAATTTTTCATTTAAGCTATATAATATTAAATCTCCGTCATTTCCTGCTCAATATTAATTCCCATATTGGTAAAAATGAACCTGCAGCTGTCAACGATCAAGGCACAAACAAATTTTTTAAATATACTGTAATGAAAGAACGAACTTTAAGTCGACATCAAACGGCCTTGAGCGTGGCTCGAGCTCGTTATCTTCTTCGAATTGCTCGAATCGCGTTTTAACGATTTAATAAAAACGGCCTTAATTGTAGAACATATGAAGCTTTCACGAATGACTGTGAAAGAGATATTATATTATAAAAGTGATTAAATTTTATTAATACGTACACTATTATCACTACTGTACAATATTATACAGCAATAAAATTATTTTACAACATCCACACTTTTCCAAGCCTTCTCTGTACAAACTTTGTACAAACACTATTGCCATTTCTAAATATATTTTGTTCCACATTTCAATCATTTCTAGCATAGTTCAAAATGAAGTCTTGTCAAAATGAATAATCAAATAGTAAGTTACAATAAATTAAATAAAATTTCAACACTTTAAACTTCCAACAACAAAAAGGTCGTAAACGCTGAATTTGTTAAGTTATATAATTATTAAAAATTACGCATACATGTTTTAACAAAAAAGGTTAAATTTTAGATTAGAGATTGTACTTTTTTATTTTGAGACCTTCTAATCCGTTGTGAAGCTGAAATTCAAGTACAAACATATGTAAATATAACATCTTTAGACTCATACAAATTAAAATACATAAAAAACAAAGAACATAATTACGTTTCTCTGGTGTTTCCCATGAAATAAGGTCTTCTGTGATTATACTCCTCGTCTTTCTATCGCTAGATTGTGCCCTACTCCTTCTAATATGCGGAGTAATGGGTAATACCGGTTTGCTTGTTTCACAATCACTATACTCACTTTCTGTAACAAAATATAGTCATTCGAATATTGCATTTGAAGAAAGTAACATATCAGTTTATTGGCCATCCATTATATCCATACCCAAAAATTTGACATTTCTAGTGGATCTTCTCCTGACATTACTTTCTTCTAAAGACGTGTTATCAATCAAACTGTGTAAATTCATTTTATTCTCTTCATTAATACTGCCTTGAATAAAACTTTTTCTTCTTCTCCCTGAAAGAGGTTTATTTTCCTTATGTTCTGATTCTTGGATAGCAGTAGACATTTCTTTTAAGGCTTTCCTCTTAGCTATAGGTGTACCAATTGCTGTGACAGTTCTATTTCGTAAAACTCTAATACTTTCATCCTGTTTCATTATTTCTTGTTTGTTGCTTATAGAAACATGTTTTTGTAATTCTTTTTTTAATGTGTTTAAATTTGTATCATCAGCAATTTCTTTTAATGGTGAAGTTTTATGTAGAATCTCATCACTTTTATCAAAAGTATTTTGTCTTCTTAAACTTCTCCTTGGTGGAGGTGTGCTAAGATTTTTAACTAATTCTGATCTTGGTAATACTGTTGCAGATGGTGTTATAGAATTTTTCGATTTAAAATGTCCAATATCTTCTTCAGATTCATCAGAACTATTATCATTAAATATAAGTTTTCTTTCTGCCCTAATTATTACTTCACCGTGATTATCAAAGTTAAAACTATCTATTCTTGATAATGCTGCAGCCAAATCCATTTTTGTCTGCGTTTCTTCATCAATTGGTACTTCATTTAAAACTATATGATCATCAAAATTAACTTTATTTGTTGACTTCATATGAGATTCTGCTACACTTCCATTCTTTGATGGCTTCAATATACTTTTCCCTGGTGTTTGATCAGAATTAACATAAGATATTGTATCATCCAAGTGTACCTCTGGTGTTTCACACTCTTCACTTACTTCCATTCTGATTAATGGACTCTTTATCTTCTTGAATGTTTCAGAGAAACGTACCTTTTGCAATGGACTTAATCTTTTATCATCTTTCATAGGTGCATAATCTTTTTGATTAGGTGTACTAGACATAGACTTTCTTGTTTTATATTTTACATAAAAGCTTTCATCCTTTCCATATTTATTACTCAGAATTTGATTATTTGTAACTTCAACTTCTTTCATATCACGATTATGTTTTATTTCTCGCGACATCCTTTGCTTCTTTTTTGCTAAAAACGCTTTGATAGAACTTGATTTTGTGAATACATTTCTTTTTACAGTAGATTTCTTTTTAGCAATGGATTTGCCAACAGGTAATTCTTCTTTCTTCCAGCCTTGTGAACAAAGAGTCTCTAATTTTTCAAATTGTGAATCACATTTCTTTACTTCTATATACATCATATCCCAAAATCCTTGCAAATCTTTACATGTAACTAACATTTCTCCTTTTCCTGTCTCACAATCAGCAACTAATCCACAAAATCTTTCAAACTTTTTGCTTATTAACAAATTCGTTTGGCCAATAGTTTGACTTATTTCATATTTTCCATCCTCTGTAGTTTCAGGTTTTGCTTTAATTTCTGTCCATTTTTTACATAATTCATTTAATCTGGTTATTTCTCTGTTTAGAAGAAATTGAAAATATTGTGCAGTATGTGCCTCTTCTTCAACTGATATATTTAAATTTTTCATGACAGTATCTTTTGTAGGAACATCGGTACTTGGTGAGTGACCAAGACTGAAACCACGTTTTAATTGTTGTTCTTTTCTAGCATTGCTTTTCCCACGGCTAGAAACTATATAAGGTGAAAAGAAAACTGGTTCATTTGGAGAATCAGATTTTAACGACATAGATATGTTATTGTTTGAGGAAGAAAATACTTCCTTATCACTATTGTACACTTCCTTGTTATATTCTTTACTGTTATGTATTGTATTATCATCGCTAAATTTTATCTCATTGTCATTATTGCCTCTATTATTATTAGAAGAATTAAATATTTTTTCTTCATCATAGAATGCACCTTTTATCAAAGAACTACTTTCTGCATAATCAGTATCACTCTTCTTGTCATTTGTTGATATATCACCTTCCATGTTAATGACTGGTTCTACGTTAAATTCTGCAGTACCAGTTTTTCTATTTGCCCTTGATATTCTTGAAGGTGAAGATATAAGTTCGTTTATTTTAGCAGGTGACATACTTGTTATGGCTACTGTGCAAAATAAAGGTACTTGAACCAATCCAGTTGGAGTTTTGAATTTGCAATTAGCAGGAGTGTAAGCTTGTACATCCATTTTCTGGCATTTTTCTTCCTTATTTGTAACACTTGGATTTCTAAGGGAATCTTTTGTTATTTTCTTTGTAAGTGTTTTATTCATTAATCTTTCCTCTGTTGCTTTTGTAACTCTTTCGTTAAACGATGACAAAGGTGTGTGTGTAGCCTGATTACGTGTCTTTTCACATGTCATAATTGAATCAGCACTATGATCTTTTCTAATTGGAGAACACAATTTGTGATGAACTACTCCAACAACAAAGGGTGGCTTTTTCTTGAGTTGTTCAAGCGTTCTGCGTCTTTCGCGTTCCACTTTCCACTTTAAGAGCTTAGTCATACGATCCTCCACTACTGGGACTAACTGCACGCCTGACATAAAATTGTAAGTAACAATGTGGCAATATATCAATGAGATAATATACCCAATATAAACATTGTTCTATACAAACCTTTGCTCTGTGATATGCTTTCCGCAGAATTTGATATGACTCTATTTTTATTAAACGTTGCAGCTCTTTGGGTTTTACGCGTTTCTTCATGTTTCTTGGTGCGAATAAACCGACCCTTGTCTGTATCTCCAAAACCAAACGTTTTCACTTTATATTGTTGCCGAAAAGACATTTTGTTTTACATAAAGAAGGTTAACGTCACGATTGAATCTAACTTTCTACTAATTAATACGCGGTAACGGTTCAATGAAAAACAGTTTAAAATTGCTGTTTCTATCATTTATCAGGCGTACCCGAGAATTAGCACCCCTTCGCCGGTTAAATTAAAACTTTGGAGCTGGTGTTACCAACCTGAAATTACAAAGAACATTAATGTATTTTTTGGGGATAAATTGCAAAAACCCTATAGCTTGGTGCTGTTTGATTACCGTGTAAACGGGGCCGTAATGTAATCTCAGTTGTTATGTAAATACTTAGGGAATTTGGACGGAGTTGTTGCCCGTGGAACGCTGAAGTTCTTTACTCGTAGTTGTGTAATAAATTTGAAATAAATAAGAAACTTTAAAATAAGAACGTAATAATGACAATAATTTACTAGCAATGTATTTTAATGTTTTACTATTTCTTTTTGTTGCAAAATATCGCGTCTAGACTCTGAGCGGGGAGAAAGGAACGAATGTTTAAGCGTCGTCGATATGCATTATTATATGTTAATATGTTTTTGTTAAATAATAAACTCCAATTAAATTAATAATTCTATATAAAATTATTTAAGGATAACTTCCATTGGTATCCTGCATTTGTTTATTAATACATGTTTATTTTAAAGCGAGTGTTTTACATCTCAGCAATGTTTCTTTGCGTAGCAACTAGAACAAACACTTATTTAAACGATCAGTTGTAAATAGTAGCAAAGAAACTCAGTAATGTATATTGTAAACTGTCATTCCGGCTTCCACTTGTGGTAACGATGCCCACTGTTCCGAAAGATTACTACAATCACTTTGCAATACATATTGAAATTAAAATGTCTCCTAAACTAATAACTTTTCGACATAAATAGATTAATACTTTTTTGTAGAAAATACAAAGATGCATCGATTAATTCATCAAAACTTATATGATTCCATTTAAAAAAATAATGGTGACCTTCATATGTCCTTCATGCCTCCACATACAGACAAAATAACTATCTATACTAAATCACTTCCCCCTTGAAAACAAATGAGTTCTATTTAAAACATTATTTTGAATAACGATACATTATTTTGAATAACTTATGTATTAATTAGTTTTGTTTTCTTTTCAGGACCACTTCTCCAGTGTCTCTAGTAGGTCTCTATGGTACGATATCGTTTTCGTCTATACATATGTACCTCGTCAACTACGTAAGTTATAGAAATGGACACGAAGAATAGTATAATTACATTTGTGCTGCTACCACGTCAGAAGCAATTGAAAGAGTGATTTCTCATTCTTCTCGGTATAGATAATGTATCTTTGTCGATGAATATGACTGAGCATTTATGATATAACAAAGAATTCACATGTCACCCTGACATTGTTTCAGAATTTCATCATTTTTTCAATGTTCAAGATTACCTGAAGGTCCTATGTTAGACATATTTGAATGCATGTTAACACGTCCTACATGATGCAACAGAGAAAATTACATGCTCCCAGAAGTTGGAAAAAAAATGACCATAAAAGAATTTTCTATTTACATTACTTCTCTTGTGAAACCATTCAAATTGTGTTTGAAACATTTCTGATATCTGTAAGAAATGCGAGATTCCGGCGGCGAAGTGGTGGCCTGGAATTTGTCACCCAGGAAGAGAAAGCGCGCGGGTACCTGAGGGTCCCATAAACTAAGCCCTTTCCCCGGAAAGTCGAACGAGGGGGCTCCAACGGTTTTTTCGGAGCAACGTGGGATACGACGCGGAAAGGACATTCTGGAAATAGCCGTCGAGCGAGACGGACGCCGGAAACCTTAAGAATCGCTTAGGAATACAGAATAAGTTATTTTTGGGATACCGCACTATCCTGACTTTAATTCTTTGTTTTCGAGTGGTGCTTACATATCATTAAAAATAATTAAGATGTTTAGGTGTTCGGTTTTCTGTTAGCTGAAACACCCTGTATAATATTTCTGTTGCATGTATTACGACTTTTTTAACCATGCTTTCAGATGGTAATATACAAAGTGGTCCACGTAACTTGCACGCCTCGAATAACTTGTAAAATATGCGTTATATGAAAAAATTTTTGATACAAAAGTTGCACGGTTTGAAGGGGCACATTATGTAGTGTATGTACTTTTTTCATAGGTGGAGGCATTTCGGAGATTTCAGGGTCAACTTCGTTATTTTAAATGGAATGCTACATTTTCTATGCTAGAATATCAAAGAATGTTAAATTCTGAGTAAAAGAGTATGGACCATTATTAGCCCTAAATCTAATAATTAACGAATAATTTCGCATCTTTTGCTGAAAATGTACATTGCGCTCGGGCATACGGAACTTTCGCCGGTTTTTTTTATTGTGTTAAAGTTCGTGTGGCAGTATCAAACACCGATAACTTCAACAATGAGTCACGGATATAATAGACGATTGCGATACTACAGTATGATAAACACGTAAACACCATTATCTTACAGAAATCTTTGCTGATATTCAATCTCCAACTTAATATTATTGGATTATGGGAGTTATGGATAGTTAAACAATTAATAATCCTTATTTTAAACTATAAACTTTTATTTGACACAAGGAAGGTTCGCTTTTATACTTGATGACAAGAGTACTGTATACAGACTGAGAGTGCTCCTACTCAACACCCTAATATTGCCTACGACTCCGCTTGGGACCGAAGGGCCTTTTGTCACGTATCATAAACATTTAGATCTTTACTAAACAGAGGTGGTATAATGCGAAGTGCTGTTTTGAAAAACGAAGCGAAATTATTGATTAAACCACTTGAACGTTGCCTATTAATATTTCTTGATATTATCAACATTTTCACTTAAATATTGTTATCGCGTTTTATATGCCTCATCTTATACGAGTACACGTGGGACAGTGACTCCCACTAATATTCGGACATTCTTTAGAACAGTATAACTGTTTTTTTAAATTGGACCAAACAACTTAAGTTTTTTTTTTTTTTTTGCGAAGTTAGAAGGATTAGTTTACTAGATGATGTGTACAGAAATTTTTGAAAAAAATGCAATTTGTGAGAATCGCGAAGAAAATTGTAAAGGTCACTTTTTACCAATATTTTTATTTACGTTTATCATATGCATACTAAAAATTTTATCGGAATCGGTTGACGCAGAAACAAGCGACAAGATGTAAGAATCTTTAAATTTATTTTTAGCGAAAAACTGCGATTTTCACAATTTTTAACCGGTTGCAGCTCATAGCAACGTGAACTGATTTCGATGAAATTTTCAGCATATATATAACTGACATAAATCTACAAAACGTATGTTTTAAATTTCTTTACTTAATAGCAATTTTCTCCAAATTTTTTGACTCTATCATCTAGTAAATTAAGAAAAAAAAAAAACTCGTTTGGTCCAATTTTATGAAAGTTGTATTATTCTAAAGAGTGTCCGAATAATAACAAGAGTAACTGTATGTCTCATATTCATATCTGTACTTATTTATAGAAGACACTATATCGCACTGTTGAATAACAAACAATATGATCGCGCATGTTTTGAAAATTCCATAGAGTGAAATTGTTTGTAAGTATTCATTTCCCTATAGGTAATATATCTGTATTCTTCTTTTGCACCCAAGATTCGGAAAAATTGTGCAAAGAAGAAAGCATTTTATCACTATCACTTCACAATTATTATCACAATATTTTATCGTCACTTTGTGTTCATAACAGAAAACAACGAGTTTAATTGATAATATCAGTAGCAATAATACGATCGCCACGAATAAAAGATACCGCAGTTGTAAGATCACTCTATTTCGCAGTAGCGTAAGACGCGTAAGTACATATTATACATACTTATGTACATATAACGTTAGTATCAGTTAATTCGCATCTACGATATATCTACGCGAAATCTAACTGGCAGGCCTTCCTCTGCCACTTCATTCCGACTTCACGACTTACAGTCACGAATTATCTGTTTTCAATTGTAAGATCACTCTATTTCGCAGTAGCGTAAGACGCGTAAGTACATATTATACATATTTATGTACATATAATGTTAGTATCAGTTAATTCGCATCTACGATATATGTATAGTCGGGGCCACGATATAGCGAGGTCGTAAAATCGGTCAGACGTCAAAGTAAACACACTTTATAAAGTAAAACTCGTGGTTGTAGTAGCCGATACATATGTAACCAGTTACTTTGTGAGATTCAGCTCCTATAAAATTCATTTTATCTCTATCGAATACAAGAAAATATATATTCGGCAATAGTACCAACAAGTGAAGTAAATAAACTTCTCTCAGAAAAATATCAGAATATAGTGTTTTCTTATCGTCAAGTGATACATAAATTCTTGCAATTTTAGATAAATCCATTAGAAATAAGTAAATACAGTAGCAGGGAAATATCTTTAATCTTATTATGTGCAAACTTTCTCAGGCTTTTTCTCAGTGTACATAACATATCATTCATAATGTGTGTCCAACAAAATGTATGTGTTTTCAATAAGTAGTCAAGATCAGCTTGATTTTTTTTTCCGAAAATGTGGGCATAAGTTCGAGGATAGATTCAGTACCCTAGAATAAGAAAAAAAGTTCATATGAACATATGCCCGATATGACCTTGTTTCCGAATTATAGCCGTTTTTGTCTTCGAGTAATTCTTATGACTCTATTGACTGCTTCTTTTAATTATTTACAAGTAACGCTTCTTATCTCATGCACGACCTTTTGGTCTGCTATGTAAACGCTATTTCGTAATTTGTTACAATCAGTTTAATCATGTTCTTGGTGGTAACGGCACATATGGCAATTTGCTAGTACATTTCATAATAATTTCGAGTGATCATCTAATACATTTCATAACAATTTGAACGATAATTTACATTGATACGACGTTTGGAAGCCTGCATTCTAGCCGACGGTGAGCACTTCGAACAGTTTCTACGATAATTATTAAATAACAGGATTCACATAGAAACGGCTATAATTCGGAAACAAGGTCGTATCGGGCTTATGTTCATATGAACTTTTTTTCTTATTCTAGCGTACTGAATCTATCCCCGAAGTTATGCCCACATTTTCGGAAACACCCTGTATATACATATAATTTTATAGTATTTTTGCTTTTCAATTAGCAAAAGAAGAAGTTCAATTAGCAAGTTGAACTTTTTCATTAGCTTTTTCTGCGGAAAAAGTTGAACTTGCTTGAGAAGTAAAACGTGCTTCTATTTAAACTAATAATATAGTGGAAAAAAGTGTTCCGGAAGAGTGATTTTGCACGAATTGAATAACAATATATGTATCTCTCATCTTACGTACAGTTCAGACGTTCGTAGTACGTGCAGTGTTTTGAGCTTATTGTTGTTTACAATGTGTGTTAAAAATGCCATTCGTCAGTTTCTTCGTGTTTGTATAAATAACTAATACCGTATCTTCGAATGACAACAATTTTTTTAATTAACCCTTTCGCTACGATAGACTTTAATGCGTAACGTGGGTGACTGACGGTAATGTTTTAACTAAAATTTGTTATTTTGGCTGTAATCTGGGTCTTTGTTTCGATCCAATTTTGAAATCTTTGACTTAACGAACAATTGTATAATGTAGTAGAGACTTCGATAAGTACTCCAAAATTCCTTCAGATTTTTTAGAAACTTGAAACAGTAAGAAAATTAGACTTGGACACAGACTACCCAGTTTCCCTACGGAGTGTGAAAATTCGGTTTATTAAATTAAGGTAGAAGTGCGTAAAGGGTAAAATTAAGTATTAAATTAAGGTAGAAGTGCACAGTAATGAAAGGGTTAAGCTCGTTATATTTGTCTTATAACAAGTGCTCTCTAATAGATAGGTAAAAAGGACCACAGAGTTTTGCATGTAAAAATTGAAGGTAACTCTGAAACCTTGCAAAATAGCCGCACAAAAATTCGATTTTGTCAGCATAAAGGTATACTTTCAATATTACACACGATACAAAATTTTGTTCAGTTTATTAATACGAAAAATAATAAAGTTCGTTGTGCTACATAATTCACCCAGTATGTAAGATAATAATATTTGATAATCATATTTTAATAAATTATATTGAACATGGCGAATTGTTAAAAATTTCAAATTAACAATAACTTATTCTTTGTAATATTCTTTCTTTAACACTTTGACGAGTGCACATTTTTTATAAAATGTAAAATTTATGTTAAATATAGATTCTAAAAATGTCGAAACTTCTTTCATACCAGAATATAACTGCATCTCAAAATGTATTATCTTCATTGTGTACTCTGATAAAATTTCATTCCTTTCTCATGCTCTCTCGCGTATTATTATCGCATTGTCCTCTTTATTCTGGTCTGATTATCATATCATTTGTTTCTTATAACTGTACCGGGAATGTCATTCTGTCGTTAAGTGTCGTTCAGCGATTACCGGGTGAACAACTGTTACAAATCCATTAGCTATCATTTCCGCAAGTTTTCCTGTCAATGTACCCGGATTCTTTTTAATTTCGCGAATAATAGTGCTTTCATCTCGTTGAGTTAATTTTTTTAATGGCCTTTGCAGGATTCATCTACAAGACTCTCTGTAGTTTTCCATTTTTGTTTTTATAAGATAGTGAAATGTAAGTTTACTTCTAACTAAGGAGATCTCTTCGTTAAATTTTCCTTCTTTATGCAGTGTTGTGATTCCTTCGTTATGGTGTTTGTGATTCCAACTTCTTCATATTTATAGTTTTCACGCTTTCATAACTACGCACAATTAAAGAACTCACTAAACCATGTTTTAGTATCAACCGAGTTTGTTAATCATTCATTACATCTATTGCGGAGATCAATTGAAAGTATAGTTTATCTCGAATAGTTCTGTGACCTCGCTACTATAGAATCATCGTAGCCCCCCTCCCCGTGTTTTCACTTGACCTATATTCGTTGGTGTAAGGAGGTTTGCTAGACTGCGGGGATATTTTTAAACGTTAATAACTAAACAATGGAGCCTTAAACGCAATTTTCTTGTTTTTGATTTTCGTCTTATATCGGCGTCTAGAATCATCCCTTAAATTTTCTACCAGTAGTTGCCGAACACCCTGTATTGCTGCGTTTAAATATTTATACAGGGTGTTCCGTAACTCTTCGAAGATCCGGAAATGGGGGGTTGCTGGGGTGACTCTGAACAACTTTTTCCTTTCTACCAGTAGTTGCCGAACACCCTGTATTGCTGCGTTTAAATATTTATACAGGGTGTCCCGTAACTCTTCGAAGATTCGGAAATAGGGGGTTGCTGGGGTGACTCTGAACAACTTTTTTCTTGTCCAAAATGTAGTTTGAAGCTTCGTTTTCGAGTTATTAACGAAAAACACTGGCCAATCACAGCGCCCGTAGTGCCCGCGCTCAGGGACGGGCGAACAGAGATTCACTCATACTTTTAAACGTTCCTTTCTTATGTAGACGCTATAATAGCCATTAATTGGATTTTAATTACTGAATTTCTCTTTAGATACTTTGATGTAACATGATGGATTACTTCCAAATTTTATGCGGCATTGCCGTGCTGCTTCTCTCGATCTATTACTATTTCTCTTCCACCTATGACTACTGGAAGAAACGGGACATACCTGGGCCACAACCTACAATTATTATTGGCAATTTTACGGATGTAATCCTTAGAAGATTGTCAATAGGCGATACTTTGATCAAATTTTACAATGAATACAAGAATGAGCCAGTGTTTGGATTATTCGAGGGAAGTTTACCTGTTCTTGTTATTAATAACATGGATATGATTAAGGACATTCTCATCAAGGACTTCTCTGTGTTCGTCGACCGAGGGTTCCGCATCTTTCCAAAGGTAGTATTTGTAGTTCATAATTATGTACTTCGTAAACCTTCAACTTTTAACATGTAAACTGTGATTTTTTGTCATGATTAGACTGCAGATATTTGAGCTGTTTAATGCGAAAGTGGTGTAAGTCAAAAAAGGCGATTTCTAGATAATGAAGGATAAAGTAAAAGTTCTGTAAAATTCAGGAATATGAAAGAATGTTAAATCTCTTTTACGTAAGTCATTGTATAGTTCTACCTTAAGCTAATAATACAATTTTGCCTCGAAAATCAAGTATACATATATATAATCATTTTATTCAATATTCTTCTGACTTACACCATTTTCGTGCAAACCGGGAAGGTAATTATTATTAGATGTAATAAAAAAGGGATCTGTTTGTTGAGGTAAACATTATGTTTCTACTGCTTTATTAATTACCAAACAAATCATTTAAAATAAAATGAACAAAATGTATAAAATGTGGTTTACATTGTCACGAATTTAAATCGATAAATAATAACGAGCATGACTCAGAAACTTTGTGGACAGCGATAAAGTTAAGCTCTTATTCATCGCTCACTTCTTCTTCGAAATCCAATATCCTCCAGAAGTCCAATGTCATTTATCTCGCACCAAAGTCTGACTTACACCATTCTTGCATTCGAGTGGATGGTTCTTACTTATTTTGAATACAGTTCTTACGTATTTTAATGAAAATATCCTTACACCACTTCTGCACAAAACAGAATGAAGGTTAAGTTTTCGAGATGTGGTGTTAACTCAAAAAGGCAAAAAATTTACTTACACCACTTTTGCATTAAACGACTTATTTATGGAAAATTTAAAGGCACAAAAATACACAGAATGCATATAATAAGCAAAAACATATAAATAAACCCAAAATATAGTACTCATTCTAATATTTAGCGATTGAAATAATTGCCTACCCAGTTTCTATTTTTTTAACTATATTCATAAAAATTCACAGTCTAGTTATGATATAATACTTAAATTAAGTTTACACTCTATAATGATAAAATTCTTACACTATCTAACGAAAGATTGAACAGCCAAGGATTTACTATGTAATACATGAAAATAGAGTAATTAGTTTTTGAAAGGCGATATACAATGTGTCAGTTTTATCTGGAAATATGTAAATATGTCGAAAAGTATGTGTGATACGGAAAAATGTTTTAAACAAATATTGTACGATGACAAGGGGGACATATTTATATCTTTAAATGGGAACTGTCTTTTTATTGCATATTCTTATAGTCGTCATCGAAACGTTTTCGAAACACTACTAACTTGTATCTTTCGTCCCGTTCATAGTAAACAACTTTCATTTGAACAATTTTTCTGCTATTTTTATGATTCTCGAGTGATTTAAGGTGGTAATTCTTATATCAATACCTGTGATTACATATGATAAAAATTGTTTAATTAAACTGTGTCTATAATTGAACTAAGAACAATGCTTACACTGGTTCTCATGCAACAGCAATTACTATATTGTATTATAATGCAATATTACGATGTAATCAAAACTATCCACCAGTACATGTAATATCGTTTATTTACTCGTGGAAAGATTATTTGGTAGTGTATTTTTACGAAAGATGCTCGAAACAATTACCGTGTATATCATAATTAATAATTGCTTCTGAATGTTTTAATATTGTTTCCTCGATAGTTCAAAATGTTATTCTCTGGTGGAGCATTTCGATATTTTTAATCTTCTCATTAAGAAAAACATTAATCCACAAAGCTTTTGAATTGAACAATAAATAGATTTTTTCAACTTTTTTATTATTTTCAAGCAGACGAAAAGATGTAGGTATTGTATGAATTTTACACTGAGAGAAAAAAAATAGAACTTAAATGTAAACGTATTGAAAGGTAAAATTGAACATTTGATGTGCCTTAACGAAAAGAGTTTAAGATTCATAAAAGAAATTTATTTTCAAGATAGAAAAACTGGGAGAGAATCTTTTCTTATTGGAGCCTGAAAGATGGAGGCCGATGAGAGCAAAACTGTCACCAATATTTACATCTGGCAAGCTGAAAGATATGTTTCCCCTTCTGATAGAATGCGCAGGACATCTGGAAAAATATATGGACAGCGTAATAATAACTGAAGAGTCTACAGACTGTCGAGAATTGACAGCAAAATTCACAACCGATGTGATCGGTAGCTGCGTCTTTGGAATTAATATGAATGCTCTCTCGGAAGAAGAGAGCGAATTTCGTCGAATGGGCAGAAAACTGTTTGCGCCTAGCTTTAAACAAGTAATCAGAGAGACCTTCAGACAATTTATGCCATACTTATACGAAGTATTCGGTCAGTATCTACAACCGAAAGAAGTCGATAATTTCTTCGTAAATGTGGTCAAAGATACAATGAATTATAGAAAAGAGAACAACATAGTTAGGCCTGATTTCATCCACATGCTAATGGAACTTAAAAAACACCCAGAGAAATTAGAAAAAATTGGTGAGTACGTAGTTTTGAAACTGAGCAGTTCATTTCAGTGTTACGGATTACGCTTTGTGTCCTTACACGGAGCGGAATTTCGGTTAGTTAGATAGGAAGGCTAGAACATTCAACGTGTGTTAACACGTCGTTCTCCAGAGGAATTGGAACATTCAACGCATGTGGTTACTACGTCGTTCTCCAATAGGTAGAAGGGTCTGAGGACTGTGCGTATCGTAATGTTAGATATACCTCGAGCGGTAAAGATATATCTCTGTGAGTCTAGCCGATTTGTTACTAATGTTACTCAGGAGAGATTTGGTTGAAATGAGCGAGTCTGAGTTAACAAAGCTATATATTCTAGTATAAATGCGAAGTTACAAGTTGCTTCGATCCAAAGGTCGGTTACAATAATCGTTAAATAGTTAAATGGTCAAATCTCGACTGGGAGAGAATATTCCTTCTCAGTTTACGCGACGAGCCGCGGGAGTGTCTTAGACCGTATTGAGAATATAATAATTCTATGCTCGAAAGGGACTACAACCCGATCTTGCTCGCGTTCCGACTGGCGGAGTAACGTTCTAGTAAAAGACTGAGCCCCCGAGCATCAAACATCGTGCCCTTATATGTATACACCAAAAGCCGTGGTTTTCGGTAGTGGGGGCCCTAGATTTTCGTGGGAAACGGAATGCGTTTGTTTACCTTATCTCGAGGGCCTTCTAGGGGGTGTGCGCTAGACGGAAGTCTCGGCGCCACCGTGTCGGCTATACGTCGTTCAAAATGAGAGTAACCTCGCTCTCGGACCGATTCTCGTCCGTTCTGCGCATAGACAGAGAGCGCAACAGAGGGTAAGAGGGAGAAAAACGTAGGTGGTGTCCGGTACCGAACCATAATTCATCTTTACTAAAAGTCAAAATTTGCCAACCTCCACCAATCATCATCTCCACTTGAAACACACCTACAACTACACCCTCTCCGACATACCAAATATATGCTCAACCACCAACACGATTTCTCAGTTAGTAGCAAGGGAACACGCGCGCCACGAGAGAACACGAGTGCGACCTAACATAACCTATAATTTAGGACGAGTTCGTCACACATAACGATAACTATACACCATTTCTTTTTGTATTTATTGTAAAAATTTAACTAGTTGAATTAGATGATAAG